AGTTACAGTTTAATCCAGTCACCTGCAAGTCTGCCACTTTTGTTTACTCTGAAACTGTTAAGGGGACAAAGAAGGAAGGACACATCAACTTGTAGGTAGAGGTTTGGGCTTTCTTAATAGACCTCCCATGATGTAGGAAGTAAGATCAACAATTGGCAAGGTACCTCTGACCTTAGGAGGCTTCTGTACAACAAAGGAAACTCCGGGAGTGAAAACAACGTGCAGAATGGGAGAAAGTGTCAACTATTCATCCAACAGAGTATACAAAGAACTAAAATACTTGAAGATGAAACAAAAATGGGCTTTGTGGGGCTGGATAGATGGCTCAGGCTAGGATGACATGCTGCTGTCATGAAGGTTCCAAGTTCAGTTCCCAGCACCCACATGTGGATGCTTACAGCCTTCTGTAACTTCAGCTCCAGAGGATCTGACACCATCCTTGATCTCTACCAGCACACACGTAAGCGTGTGCACACATACATGCATGCACATAAGACCTTTGTTCCCTTAAAGGTAAGTTCTCAAATACAGATGGCTTGTAAACACATAAAATGTTTAACATCCTAGGCTGTCAGAGAAATTAAAAGTACTTTACAATTCCATCTCGCCACAGTCAGAATGGCCTTGATCAGGAATACAAATGACAGCAAGTACTGGCATTGTGTGGGGAAAGTAGCGCTCTTATACATTGTTGTTGAGAGCATAAACTAGTGCAACTACTTTGGAAATCAACGTGGAGGACTCTCAACAAACTAAACAGAACTATCATGTGACCCAACTGTGCCATTCTTTGGTAAAGAAATCAATGGATTCTACACCCTACAGCAGAGATGCTTGCACAGCCGGGTTCACTATTGCTCTCTTCATGATAGCAAGGAAGTGGGATGAATCTAGTCCAGCTGATGAATGGATGAGAAATGTACATATACACAGTGGATTTTTACTCAACTGGAAAGAAAAACAAAATCTTACTTTAATGCCTTTGCTTTTGTTTTTTAAATGGTCATCCAAATCTTACTAAAAGGAAAGTTCCATAGTGAAGATAATGATTTAATGGATGTGATGTGGTGCTTTTTATGGTATAGAGTGAAGATTTAAAGGTAATGAACACTTGCAGTGTTCCTGCCCAGTTCCATAGCTGACTCCGAGCCCCCAAATAACACACAAGACACTATATTAATTGTAAGCTGTTGGTCGGTGACTAGGATTTCTTCCTGGCTAGCTCTGTCTTAAGTATTAACCCATAACTAGTAATATATGTATTTCTATAAGGTCTTATCTTACAGAGAACTCCAGACTCATGCGTCCTCTCTTCCCGGATCACATGGCAACTCCTAGAATCCTCCTCATCTCCTAGTCCCTCCTATCTTGCTTCCCTATTGGCCAACAGAGTTTTATTCATCAACACAAATGTACATTAAGAACACTGACTTTTCATACATCCTGTAAACCCCTCTCTTTTTTCTTTTAACCTTTTTTAGTTACCAGGTTTCATTGGGCCATTTTCATTCATACACATTGCTCTAACCTCTGTAAATTAAGTCTTCCATAATTTTCTGAACTGATTTTCCTGGAGTATTATAGTTTAAAGCCTTTATACACCTTTATTGTAAATTATGTGTAATATTAGATGTTATTGGCATGTTTACCCCAGTTAAGTCTTTCTCATGAGCCAATAGATATCTTCAGTTCCTTCTCCTTTCTGTTTTGGGTGAGTAGCTGGTCATAACATTTGCTGGCTTTTACTATATATATATTAGATCTTTATTAGATTTTTTGGTTTCCACGATCTTGTTATCTTCAGAGTTTAATGGCAGAAATTTTGTTCAGTATCCTCAGTTTCAGTTTGTCTGTTTTCTGGTGACTAGTCTGCAGTTAGGAGTTTTGGAGAATACTACAATAGTAGTGTGCTTGTCCTTTGCATTATAACAGGCAGTAATTGGTGTCACCTAGCTTCTCTTTGTTGTACTATTACTGTTTGCTCTGCATTATTAGAAGTGAGTCTGAGCTTTTACAACTTGCATAACAGAGGTTATGAGCGCACTGGGGAGAGGCTATGAGCTCGCCATTCTTCTGGAGAAAGGAGTGCCAAAGAATGTGCTCTGTGTTAAGGCACTATCAAGCTGGTAGACTTTGGGGGAGATACTGAATTACCACAAATACTCAGTTTCTAGTTCCAGATTCTTCCATGGCTCTTGTCTGAAACAGGCACTACTGTGGGGTTTTAATGGCATTTTCATTTTTTTGGCCTCTACCATATTGCCCAATTTACTGTAATAAATCTTGGAATTGTGTAGTGAGACTTCCAACTTTTTATTTTAAGCAGTTGTTTTTGGCAATTCTAGATTCTCTGCTTCATGTAGTAATTCTAGGATAAAACTGTATATACAATGGACTTTTCTGGGGTTTTGATAGAAAGTGCATTGAATCAATAGATCAAGTAAGGGAGGCTTCATATAACAAAGCTTCAAATCTGTAAGTGTATTTGATTTTTTTAATGAATTTATTTTGTTAGATATTTAGTTTTATGGAATTTGAGTATGATTACATCTTTTTGTCATTTCTAATTCCAATATTTTATTCCTTACATATGGGAATACAATTTACTGTGATACACTTCTGATTGTGTATCCTTGTTAGAGTCATTAAATTGCAGTGATTTTTAGGTGGGCTCAGCAGTTGAGACTCCTTGTTGCATTTTCCAGAGAACAAAAGTTTGGTTCCTAGTACTACCACAAGGTGGCTCACTACCGTCTGTAACTTCAACTCCAAAGGATCTGTTGTCCTCTTCTGACCTTCAGGGGCGTGTGCATTCACATACATTCCTTCCCACACACATAATTAAAAATAAGAAAGCCTTTAAAAAATTCTAGTCATTTATTGTTTATCCTTTCAGGTCTTCCTTCATAGAAAATTGTCACATACAAATAGTTTTACTTTTTTCTAATCAATTTCCTTTTTCTCATTGAACTGTCTAGGAACTGTCAAGTAGGAGTGATAAGTAGAACACACTTGCCTTTGTGATCTTTGAGAAAGATTAGTTTCTCAATTCTGTAGCATCAGCGGTAGTTTTGTATAAATGCCTTTGAACTGAGAGTTACTGAATATTTTGGTTTTTTTCTTATGTTTATTGAAATGATCAGTGTTTATTAGTACATTACTTTGGTTATTGAAACAACTTTGCATTCTTTGGATGAATTGTATATATATCTAATCTATTATATATATATATTACTTGAGTTCAGCTTCCTATTGTGTTGATGAATTCTGAATCTGTGCACAGTAGGCATATAAGTAGTTGAGAATGGCCTTGAAATTCTGAGCCTCTGGCCTCTGCCTCCAGAGTTTTGTGATTACAAATTTGTACCACACAGTGCTAGGAATCAAATTCTTTATACATCCGAGGACAATTTCTTCTTGGGTGAATTTGGTGATTCTTTTTGAATGATTTTGGCCATCGTGGAGGTATCTTGATGGAATTTCTACATAAAATGCATGACTACCATGCCACACCCCAACCCCAGTTATATACAATAAACATTTCTGAATGTTCTTTCTGGTGTTTTCTATTGAGTGCCAGATGGACTTTAGGGAAAGAGAACCTGAAATGCACGTGAACTCGCCAAATTATATTCAGATAGTTTTTTTCCCCTATTGTCCACCCTGTCATCACCACTTTGCTACCTGTTCTAGCTGGTATACATGGAGGGAGCATGAGTCAGTTCTCTCTGATCAGGTCAAATTTCGAACACGGTAACTTGTGTTCCCAGGTCTATAAAGTTTTGAATATGAATTTAGTTCTGTTCTTTAAGGATAACACCAACACTTCCCAGCTTCATTCTGAGGCTGAAGTACCTATTTTTTTCTAAGCGACAGTTCAATTCCACAATAGGTTGGTTATTCAGTTAGAACAAATGGTGGGAGATATTCTGCTCCCTGCAGTAAGTAATTTAATCCTGGAAGCATAAGTTAAGATGATGTGCACTATATTAACACTTACATGTAACATCTGATACTTATATTTTTTATCAGTGTAAAAATGATGCTTTTAAAAATCCAATTCAAATAAATTATTTGAGAGCTTTAAATGTCCTCATCAAAACTGGGCTCTCATAAAGATGCATAGAATGTGTGTGGGCTTATATATCAAAAGAGTGGCAAGAGATCAATTTATAACCGAAGTCTCATCAGAAAGTCCAAAACGCATGTCTGGATTATTCTTATACAGAGAATTTCTGCAAATCAGCAATGAAATCAGTGGGAGATTAGTGTGTTTCCATCGAAAAATTACCCCATAGCTCAGTAGCTTAAAGCAATGACCAGCACTCATCTCTTACAGTTTGAATCCTGTGGAGGTTTAAATGAAAATGGCTCCCATAGGTTCATGTATTAGAATGCTTGGTCATCAGGGAGTGGCACTCATTCAAAGGGATTAGGAGATGTGGTCTTTAGGAGTGGGCGTGGCCTTTTGGGAGGAAGTGTGCCACTGGTGTGCAGCTTTGGGGGTTTCAAATGTTCAAGCCAGTCCCAGATGCCCAGGCCAGCCCACATGAGCATGAGTGGCAGGCACTTCCTCTTTGAGCCAAGCCTGCCTCTAAGCCCAGAGACTGCTCAGGAAGAGACACTTGACCAGGGACACCAATGAGAAAAGGGCAGTGTTAACAGAGCCACCTGAGCCAATGGAACCTTGGGAGGGGGTGTAAAGGCCGGCCTAACTTCCTTAATAAATGAGTCTGCAGCATGTTCTGCTACTCGCTGACTCCAGGTGCCTGTGCCTTTGTTACTGGGTCTTCTCATCCCCTCCCCCAAGGGGTGTCCGAGCAGGATAATAAGCAAGAAGCATCAATCTTAATAAAGTCAGTATGGCCCTTTTAGTTTCCTCTATTTCTTAATACCATCTCTTTCTCTACCTCCCTTATATCCTATTCCTCTGCAACAAGCCCCGCCTCCTCAAAAGTAGCTCGTTACTTGGGATGCCATATGATGATGTAAATCCAGGAGAGTCATGACTCACACATTGAGAACCATTTGTCCAGCAGAGGGCAGTAGAACAGCACAAACTTGGAGCATGTGGGGGTTTGTATCTCAATCCTGCACCTCTTGTCCTTCACATTTAGCACAGAACGTTTGAATGTCCTCTTGTAACTAAACCAATTATGTTTCCCTGATAATACCTTTAAAGTTCTATTTCCAAGCGTGCTTGATGTTGAAGAACTACTTTCGAGATGCCAGGAATTGGGGGTTCCAGTTCTTTCCCTACTACCTTCTACCAGGATGAATATGTTATTGTTTGGTATGTTGGAATTTCTCGTAGCATTTTGGGGCAGGGGAGAGTTTTATATCTCAAATTTCTATGAAATTATTCTGTTAGATATTTTTATTGAGTTGTCTTGAATTTGTAGGTACTATTTTATAGAGAAACAACATTTAAACGGTGAGCTTATGTGTCACTACATGAATATCGTACAGAAATGGGCCTGGCGGGGAAATGGATATTTTGAAAAAACATCCGTGTCCCTTACTTCAGTTTCTAGACTGTTTCATGATAGACTCCAAGAAATTGGAATTCCTCCAGACATCTCCTGCTTAGAGAAAAAAAAACTCTAAAGAGCCAGTTGGAAGGTAAGCAGAAAGATTTTACATATATATCACTGTTAGACCACCTCCCTGAGGAGACACGGATGGGTCTACGGTGGGCAGGACTGCCTTGATCAGGACTGCTTGTATGTTCTTACCTGTGGCCTTCACTCCAGAATGCAGACGGTGGGCTTGTGACTGTAGCGGAAAGGTATCACTGTGTCTCTTTGTTCCTTTTCCCAGTGTGGTCACATCGAGTGAACCTCCCTTTCCTGCTTTCACTACTAAATTTGGCTGTTCTCATTGTCTTATTGAGGATGGATGGCAGAACCTGACTTCTAAACCCCAAGATTGTTTATTTAGGATGTCTATTTACTTTGATTTTTTAAATTTCTCTTTCTAAATATTTTTGGAATTATTTAATCAATTGCTGCAATATTTTAAAATTACAATTGTTGAACCCTTTCTTCTATATTTTCTTGATCTTTGTTTTTTTATAACAGGACCAGAAAGGCAACTGCTACCCCAGGATATCTGGGAAGACAAATGTTGAACTGAATGATAGAGAAACATAATTTTCTTTCTTCAGATTTTATGTTAAGAGCATTTAATATTTCATTATTAGGAGACAGTTCTCTGTGAGGTTCTCATGTTACTGTATCTTGCTATGGACTATATTTTCAAAGATACTTAGTGAAAAGCCTTGGCAGATACAGCATCTAAAGAATAGGTGCTCTGCTTATTATCCCATATAATAAAGACAATGTCTCTCCCTTTGGGTAGGGTGGTGCATGTTTAGTTATTTTTTATTGTAAGAAAATCTGGTTCCCTTAGTTCAAAGTTCTGTAATACAAATCACCTGGCATACAAATACCCTCTTGCTCTTGTATCACTTTTTGATAATTGAGGCTTTGGACACTGAAAATATAACCAATACTGCTTCTCCTACAAAAAGTAGCTGTTGGATTATGAGGCTAGTGTCTTCAGCCAGCATCTATAAGGTGTGATAGGCTAATTATTGGTTTGTAAACTGAGCAAAATATCATATTTGCAGGTTCAGTTCTTGCCAACAACCTTCATCAGACTGGAAAGGTCCCTTCTAATTGTAACTGAGATTTTACCCTGAATTAATAAGTCCTGCTGCATGCTTTTTTACCTATTAAAAATGGGGATCCGAATGGGGATTGGGAGGGGGGCTGGGAGGCCTGTTGGGGGAGGTGGGGGAGGAGAGGAGGGAGAGGGAGCTGGGCTTAACATGTGAAGCAAGCTTGTTTCTAATTTAAATAGAAATGCTTTTCTTTACCTAAAATATTTTACTAATTATATTGAGTTTTAATTGCTGAACTTCTTTGATATTCCTAGGCTATGTCCTATTTGTTTGCAATATGTTATTGAGTTTTTTAATCCAATATTTGCTTTGCTAATATTTTGTAAAGGACCTTATACATCTGTGTTCCTGGGAATCTTTTTTCCGGGAAGATTTTTGTTGCATATTTAATTTCTTCCTATAGACTTATTCAAAGATGCCAAATTTGTTTGCATAAAGTTATTCACTATATTTTCTTACCATTTTAACGTGTGGGAGCTGTTAGTACATGTTCCTTTTCATTTCTTCTGCTTGTAATCTCTAGTTCTCTTGGCTCCAGATGAATCACTTTCATTAATCTTTGCAAAGATTGTACTTCTGGCTTGCATACCTTTGTTTTGTTTTTTAATTTTATTATTTTCTCCTACTACTTTGGGCATATCTCTTTTTGCTTACATTTTTGCTCTGAATGTAACCTCATTAATTGTTATGTTTCTTCTTTTCTAAAATAAGCATTTACATTACAAATTCCAAGGCTAGAGAGTATGTAGTGTTAAGAATGCTTGCTACTCCTGCAGAGGACCGTTGCCAACACCTATTTCAGGTGGTTCACAACTGTCTATCACTCCAACTCCATGGGATCTGATGCCTCAGGCCTCCAAGGCACCTGCACTCATGTGCATATACCCATTTGCAAACATATGCACAAAATTAAAGATAGAACATATTTTAAATTATAAATCTCCATGTAAGCACTGCTGTGGCCTCATTCACAGATTGTGATGTGCTATACTTATCACTCAATTCATAATAGTTTCTTCACCAAACCTTAAGAAAGGTAATCTTATTGATAAAACTGTGTATATTTATACATAGTGAAATGATCAAACAAACTCGTTGACATGCTCTTATATTACATAGTTGCCTATTTCTTACTGTGAGAATGTTGGAGATCACTCTTTGGGCAATTTAAAAGTATCCAATAGACGGTCATTCGCTATAATCTCCAGTCTTTTTAATAGCCATGCAGAATTTATCTACCCTCATTTGAACATCCTAGGGCTTTATAGTTTCTCTTACGATTTCTTTGACCTGTGAACTCTTAAGAAGTCTGTTGTTTTTAACTTGGGGATTTTTCTAGATCTCTTAAAATTTTTCTAAGTTATTGAAACCAAAGTACACACTCTATGATTGCAATGATTTAAAAACAGTTTCATTGAAGTATAGCATTCTTGCTAGTGTTCTTCCTTCCTAGGCACAAAAACTTTATATCTTATCTTCCTTGCAAATGAGTGGACCATTTGATAGTTCTGATCTGCAAGCTGAGATGAAGCGGTGAAAAAGCCATGACTAAGTTACTAGTCTCTCTGCTCCCCTCATGATATATAGGAAAGATTCTGAGCTCCCACATTACTGCTGAAGGAATTTTTTCCCTATATTCATTTGACATTCCAGATGGTGGTAGAAAAGTGAGGGATACATATATGTTAAGTTGCTGGGATTTAAAGGTTGTTTGCAGTTGTAGTAAAGTCTAATATATTCTGATTAAAACAGAGAAAGCTTGAGTCTGAACTCAAAGTTTTAAAACTCTGTAACTTATCATTTTTGGTATCATCTTTTCCCTTTCACTACACACACAGGAATTGGGGTGGTTCTAGTAGTAGCCAGAGACAAAAGAGAAAGAAAAACTTGGTGAGGGTAAGCTAGATGTGAAGACTTTTGGAGGACATGAGTCATTCTCATTCATTCATTAACTTACTTGAGAAAGAGTACCTTCATTGTGCCTAGCATAATGCTTGACATTCGGTATGTATAAGAAAAGCAGTATTATAAATAACCACTGGCCATTCAAGTGGGAGGAAGATGGTAAAAACACTGACAGATTTCTGCAAGATGCTGGTACCTAGGAATCTGGAGTGAGTCACAGATCCTGTTATGTAAGCTGGTCTTTGTGGTTCAAGGTAATGCTTTGTTGTTGGTTTCCTGTGACTTTCAGGCCACTGTGATTTCAGATTAGCCTAGATTAGTTTTACAGACAAGGGCTCCAACTCTAGCCTTATACTTCAAGTATTATAGAGGAACAATGCAAAAACTCCTGAAAGAAAACCCTCTTCTAGCAGAAGGAAGAGAACATGGGCAGACTTACAAAGTTGAGAAAGTTTTTAGGGCATGTTTAATTTTTATTTGTGAAAAAGGAACTTATCCAGAGAAGATCAAAGGTTTGATAGTATCACTAAGACAATAAATGACGAAGCCATCATCAACCCACTGCCACTCAGTACCTCCAAAGTATCTTCATGTTTATTTTTATAAACTAAAATGAAAACCTAAGAGTCAGAAGTGAATTTGCAGAAAATTTTATAGCAGTTCTAAACACTTAATCATTTTTTTCTAGCAACTATTATTGATTTTAATGCAAGTACTGAACACAACTAACTGGGAAGACACAAGTGACCCTTTTCTGCGGATGGGTTGTGAGGCACTGCTGTACGTGTCACGGTCTCTGAAGGAGAATCTCACTTGCTGAATGCCCAGTCTGGTCATGCTGGCTATGTCACTGCTCTCTCATCAGCTGTAATATCTGGAGTGTCTGGCATAAGCAGAACAATGCTAAGTCTCTACTGTCTTCTCCATCCTTGATTCTTTGTCCCAAGGAGATGACATTTTGTTTGAACTATAGAATTTTGATTGTGCCTTTATGATGGTACTTATTTCTCACTATTTTTCTATTTCTGATTTTTGTTTACATGTAAAGTCTAAGTTATTAGCTCTACAGACGCAGTCCATCATATCTGTGCCTATAACAAGTAAGCTAAATAAATTTGACATACAGATTGCAGTTAAAATGTGGTTTTTTAGATACTACCACCCTTTCAAATGTTTGTGGCAGTTTGTAGGCGATACCAAATCTGTTCTTTCTTGAGTAGATTAGCCTAGAATCTTTATGCAACCTCAGTGACATTTTAGTAACCACTGTTCTATTCAACTCAAAGTCACTTGAGCTCTTCTCTAGTCCTGAGATGAACATTCTGCTTTCACTCCTTCCTCCTTTATTCTTCCACATTTGATGGGTTTTAACAAACTGTGATTATTATCCATTTAGAAGAAATCAGTTATTCCCACTTAACCAATGGGACTTCTTCAAGTTGCCTTCAAGTCCTTTTGCCATATCCTTAGTAACTTCATGTCCTTGGTTTGCATGTGTATTGGGGGAAATTCTCATTTTTACCTCTGATGTACTGCAATCAGCACAGGCTTGTACGAAGTAGTGTGCTGATTTCTCATCACCCACAAATAAACAATTGTTTAGGGGGGAAAAGGCTTTGTATCTTTTACTTCATTTGACTTTTGATATTATCTACTTGAGATTGAATTAGATGACACAAATTTAGAGCTTAGTCTTCAAGTTTTCTCTTGCTCCAGATGCCAGTCACAATCCGGGGTTGTTTATTTTATCTTTCTGACCCAATAAATATAAATCTTACAACTCTCATAACTCTTTTCTCTCTGATTTGGTTAGAGTCTCACAGAACTCAAGGGAATGCTTTCCCTGGTTTGTTGTAAAGGAAATTAAAACACAAGTGACCAATGGAGAGCTTTGATGTCCTCCCTCTCTAAGAGTACACCCACAAGCACTTCCATGTCTCTATCTAGAAGCTCTTAACTCCTTCTAGGAAGACAATACAAAGAATCAATGTAACTAAGAGTTGGTTCTTTGAGAAAATCAACAAGAGACAAA